ATACAACCGACGTATCGACATAGCCTTAATCACCGAAACCCATTTTACGCTTTATTCAAAAATTTCAATTCCCGGTTACATCTTACTTAAAACCAACCACCCAGATGGCACAGCCCACGGGGGTGTTGCAATACTTATAAAATCCAAACTTCGATTCCATCCACTTCCTTGTTTTTCTCAAGACTTCCTACAATCATGTTCCATCTCGATACAACTCAATAATATCCCGATAGTCATAGCAGCAATTTACTCCCCCCCTAAGCATAACATAACTTTAAACAACCTGTCTGACTATTTCGAAACAATAAACAACACCTTCAGTAATTTCATTATAGGAGGCGATTACAATGCTAAGCACCAATCCTGGGGTTGTCGTACGAACAACCCACGAGGCAACCTCTTGTACAATTTTACTAACACAAAAAATTATAAAATCCTCTCACCTCCCGGACCAACATATTGGCCAACTTCTCAATTTAAAAATCCAGATATTCTCGATATTTTTGTTTCAAAAATCCCTAGTAACTTATATTGTCTTACTAACAATATTCTAGATCTCAACTCTGATCACTCCTCGGTCCTTCTTAATATATCTGGCTCCTCTCTACTAACCACTGAACCACCCAAACTCTTTTCTGCTTCAACCAATCGACATATGTTCCACAACTTAGTCCATCAACAAATTAATTTAAAAATAAGGCTGAAAAACAATTCTGATATCGACGAAGCAGTTAACAGTCTTACAAAAATAATTCACTCAGCAGCAATCGCTTCAACAACTATGACAAACAAACCCACTCAAATACACTCAAATTCTCAGATACTGCCAGCTCAAATTCGTTCACTCATTGTAGAAAAACGCAGATCACGAGCTCAATATCAATACACTCGCTTACCTTCCCACAAATCATTATACAATAAGTTAGCTAATTCTTTAAAAAAAAACCCTAAACAAACTTAAATCAAATGAACTCGAACAAAAACTATCAAAACTTTCAACGACCGACGGTAGCCTCTGGATTGAAACAAAAAAATTACTCCAATTTAAAAATCCCTCTCTACCTATTAAAAAAACTGATAACACTCTAGCTATTTCTGATTCCGATAAAGCGGAAGTTTTTCTAAAACATCTGTCAAATATTTTTCAGCCACACACTGACATAATAGACCTCCAGCACAGCAACCAAGTTAACGCATTTCTAAACTCTCCCCTTCCAGAAAGCCAACGTGAAAAATTTGTCACCCCGAACGAGGTAAAATTTACAATATCAAAATACCCAAATAAAAAATCACCTGGATACGACCTAATAACAGGTGAAGTTGCCAGATGCCTCCCAAAAAAAGCCATAATTCTTTTAACTTACATAATAAATGCAATCATAAGGCTTGCCTACTTCCCAATTTTATGGAAATTTTCCCACATAATCATGTTCACTAAACCCGGTAAGCCACCTGACGACCCTGCATCATTCAGACCAATTAGCCTTTTGCCCTTTTTCTCTAAAATTTGCGAAAAACTCATCCTTAAACGACTATCCTCACACATCACCCTCAATAATGTTCTTCCTCACTCACAATTTGGTTTCCGATGCAAGCATAGTACAATTCACCAAGTTCATAGAGTGGCCGATACCATCTCCTCCTCGTTAGAAAAGAAACAATACTGCACAAGTGTTTTTCTTGATATGTCTCAAGCATTTGACAGAGTCTGGCACCAAGGTTTATTATTTAAACTCCGGAAATGTCTACCCTCAGCACTTTTTCTATTAATTAAATCCTATCTTGACAATCGCCATTTTCAAATTCGCTTCGGCACAGCCTTCTCAAATATCGCAGCAATTAATGCAGGAGTACCACAAGGTAGTATATTATCCCCTATATTATTTAATATTTTCGTTTCCGATCAACCCACGCTAGCTGACACTCTTGTAGCGGATTATGCAGACGACAAAGCCATTATGTCAATGCAGGTAAACCCAGATATAGCTTCAGCTACTCTTCAATTCCATCTGGACCTAATGGCGTACTGGTACAAACAATGGAGGGTTAAAATAAATAGTACCGAATCAGTCTACATCACCTTCACATTAAAACTAGGACATTGCCCTAACGTTTCAATAAATAATACTCAAATCCCTACATCTGACACGATCAAATATTTAGGTCTTCATCTCGACAAACGCTTAACATGGAACAATCACATAAAAACTAAAAGACTGTTACTAAATTCACGCTCCCGCATACACAAATCACTTTATTCAAATCAATTTACAAATTTAAAAACAAAAATAATAATATATAAATCTCTTTTAAAACCTATTTGGACTTACGGACTCCAACTCTTGGGAGCAGTTAAAAAATCAAACATCAACAAAATTCAAACATTCCAAAATATAATTCTCCGCAAAATTACAAATGCCCCATATTTCGTTTCAAATCATACACTCCATAACGACCTTCATATAAAAACAATTAACGAAGAAGCCAAAACTTTCTACAATAAATTTCACCTCAAATTTTCGAATCACTACAATCCACTCATAAAAGATCTTTCCATTCGAACTCTACCTGGTAATCCCCAACGCAGGTTGAAAAGAACATGGTGTCGTGACCTTCTTAAATAAATTATCAATTTAACTATTAGCATACCAATGCACTATTTACATCAGCCAAAGTATCACTAATGGGTGGCTCCTTTAATCACGAATTTCTCGTCTGAAATATTTTTTATTTCTATTTCTATTGTTACACTGCTCACATATGCTTATTGTGCAAATCGTACAGATTGTATATTTCAAATTAAAATTAAAAAAAAAAAAAAAAAAAAATTTAATGTGTCTACTATTTTTGTAATCTACAATTGGTGAATAATTAAAAGCAGAATTTTTGTTATTGTTCCATTCAATATTTTTTTTATAATCTTGTATAGCAGTTCTGATATTTTTATTAATTATACTTTTACGCTTTTTACATCCTATTGCAGTCTTTGTTTTTATTATTTTTTTGTTTTTTAAAGGTAAAATATCAGTACTCTGGGCTACATGTGTATGGTGTATAGGGAAAGGTTGTAATAATTTACTGACTAATATGTTATTAAAATGGTTACGTAACGTCCAGGTTTTACATATCATACTGTCGTAATCGATAATATAACATTCATCCAATAGATTACGTCCAAATATTAGTGAAATAGCAAATGCAATTGCAAAAATTCCACATGAATACCCATCTGGCTGTTTTATAACAGATTTAAACACAACATTGGATTTTGAAGGATATAAAATATCCAAAATCTCAAAAATCTCAAATAAATTATCATTAAGCGTATGGTATAGACTATCGTACACTTCTACGCACTTAGTTTCATTACGATAATACACACATAGCCAATGTCCAATAGCATCATTTCCAATAGATCCACTATACAAAATTTGAAAATCATCCACGTTCTCAACGGCTGTAAGTGGTGTTTGATAAAATAATACGTTTTGTGGAATAAACGATAATTGTAATTTTACGATGTCTAAAAATGCATTAATAACATTGTCTTTTAAATACGAATTTTGTATTGCTAAGGCAGTACTCATAATGTTGCAAAGTAAATGACAATACTCTTAAATAATTATAGTTAAATAATTTAGAGAAACAAAATACAAACGTGCACAGTTCACTGATCACAATCTCATTACACTGATGAACCGACATTCGGGGCGCGTTCGGCATCTGGTGGATCGTAACACGTTTATCGCATATCGATAAGAAAATGTATTATTATTTTTGGATAACGCAATTTGTATAATTGAGCTATATAGTTGATTTTTTCTTTACAACTCATAAATATAGCCTTGGAACAATTCATATCAGCACGCCTATAAAATACACACACAAAAAAAAAAGGTCAGAGTCTAGGTATATGGAAACAAGTGGAGCACAACATTTATTTCATAACATATTTTTTAGGTAACACATCTAATATGAATGGACATTTAAAGAGCAAACATAAAAATTTATAAATAACTTTATTATCTAATAAAGTTAAACCAAAGAGTCCTGAGGCATCAGTATCCGAGATTACTGTGGCATCAACATCAAAGATTCATGATTTACCTGCAAGTTCCATTGAACAAAATAAAGACCATAACGTATCCAATGAAACTTATGGGAGCATTTAAACGGCAAAAAACGATTTCAGAATCATTTGGTGTTATGGCATAGTTTAAAGAAGATGGTGCCAAATCTGAAAAAATTATCCATGCAATTATGTTTATGATATGTAAAGACAATCAGCCATTAAGCATAGTCGAAGATGAAGGGTTTAAATACTTAATGAAGACAGTTTCACCAAATTTTAAAGTACCCAGTCGTCGATATATTTCTAGCAAAATATTTGAAAAATATGATGCAATGAAGGAAATTTTTATGGACAAATTAAAAAATGTACAATATTTCACTTTAACCACAGATATTTGGACAGACATCCAAACTAGGAGTTATATTGGTGTTAACTATTCACTTTGTCGATCAATATAAATTCAACGCAGTATTATTAGGAGTATATGAACTAGACGAGAGACATACGAGTGAATATATATATATAGCCATTAAATTGGTAGATGTTTGCGTAGAATGGAATATTACTAAACAAAAAATTGTTGCAGTGGTAACCGATGGAGCGGCAAACATGACTAAAGCAATCGATTTATCTTTTGGAAAAAAAAACACATTCTTTGCTTTGCACATACACTGAATCTGGTAGCACAGAATGCAATTTCAAGTGTCTCCGAACTGACAAAATTAATTTCAAAGGTGAAAAATATTATTAAAGGTTTAAGCATAGTGTTGTGGTAAGCGACGAACTGCGAAAATCAACCAATGGTGATGGAAAACTTATTCAAGAGGTGGCAACCAGATGGAACAGTACTTATTACATGTTAGAACGCTTCACTTAACTAAGCAAAATAATTAATGATATTGTGCATAAACATATTACAGCGCCATCAATGATATCCGCAAAAGAAATCAAAGATATTTCTGATATTATAGATTTATTAAGACCTATTGAAGCATCTACCAAAGAACTTTTTGGTCAAAAATATATAACTTCAAGTATGGTTATTCCTATGATATACATGATGGTTAAAAACATCAGCCAATTCAAACCTACACAAGAATTAGGCATTCAGTTCAAAAAAGAAATCTTATTTCACTGTGAGAAGCGTTTTGGTTCAGTTGAAAGTGTTGCACTTTTAAGCATAGCAACAGTTTTAGATCCACGTTTTAAAAAGATTTATTTTAAAGATTCATTGGCACTCTCTAAGACTTTAAATTATATTTCTGACGAGATAAAACAAAACCAAGATTAAAGTGAAAGCTCAAGTGACAGTGATACAATAACAGGTATGGAAACTTCAAGAAATTAAATTTAAAAAAAATTGTATTATAATATTATTATATGTATATATTTATTTTGTTTTAGAACATGATGAAGCAAAACCTTTCAATTTATGGCAAGAACATGAATCTATGGTACAAAAATCTACCAGACGTAGAAGGCAGCTTCAGTCTGATGACATAGGGTTTCCAAATGAACTAAATTTGTACTTGAAATCAAGCGTGGCTCGGTTATCAGACAATCCTCTTCACTTATGGAAAGATATGAAAAGTGTATATCCCATATTGTCAAACATTGCAATAAAATATTTGTCAATTGTTGCAACGTCTGTACCAAGTGAGAGGTTGTTTTCTAAAGCTGGACTAACTTTAAGTAATCAAAGGAATCGTTTAACCCCAAAACATCTTAACAAATTATTATTTTTGCAATCCTTAGATGATACGTTATGGTCATTATAACCAAGTTATTGTGTTTTATGTCATAAATGTTTAAACAAAAAGTTATTGTTTTTAATATTATATTATCTATTTTGTTAAAAATTGTTTGTTTTAATATATGTATAAACGATAAGTTATGTTTTTAATATTTTAATCTCTTATGTTTTTAGTTTTTTTTTTATAATTTATAAACAAAGATGTTTTTAATATTATTTAGTTTTTGTTTAGTTTTATTGTTTTTATTAATATTATATTTGTAATTTGTATGTATTATAAGTTATAACTTATAATTTATAACTAAGTACTAAGAAAACCTATGATTTATCTAAAAAAAAAAATATACTTAGGTATTATCTTTATCTTAATACATATAACCATTATTTTTATATTACAGTAATATATTATTATATTTATAATCAGTGATATAACTACTTAATTATCAGCTATTAGGTATATTACTATTATAATAGAAATGTTCAATCTGTAATATTTATTTAAACAAATAGTTTTGTATTTGAGAATTACCCAATTAATTAACATTTAATAGTTGGTATAAAATTTGCACAATGTAGCAATTAAAAATTCAACCTCACACTAAAAAAAGAGCTTTAAGGAAAAATTTTTTTGTGAAAACATCGGTAAACATCGATGTTTCTACCATGTACATCGATTTTTAAAAACATCGATATTTTCACTGTGAGAATCGATGTAAAAAAAAAAATCGGTGTTTCAAATTTCGATGTATCGATACATCGACAATCGATGTTTATAAATCTTTGCCCATCCCTAATTTGTTGCGTATCGCCAAGAAGACGGAATTATTATTATGTTATCATTATATTGTTATTATCTTTATAAGTAAAAACAGGTTAAATACATTATTATGACAAGTCATAGATGCTATACGTATAGGTATAGTATTATACTAATACTTCACGTTTATTGCACGAAATTGCGATTGTTCGGGACGACTTATCTTTATAATGTAAAGATTTACGATTCATGATTTACGATAAGAATTTTTGGTTTGTTAACCTTTTATTTGAATATAAGTTTAAACTAACTAACTTTAGTTTAATAAAAATGTTACCGTATATATTTGTGTAAACAGTAAAGGTGATGTCGAAACTGTTCCATCTGCATACCAATGCTTACAGTTTTTCATAAGACGTAAATTTCTTTCGGTCGAAAATAAAAGTATTCGGTCTTCTCCTGAGCCACCATCATGCAACAAAAATGGATGTTCATTGTTTGTTAACCGATACTTTTGAGGTATCACTAAATCACTAAGTGATTATGGGTTAAGTGGTATAGTCTCTTCCTCATTTCTTATCCTCCGAATCGTCCGTTTAATTGAAGTTAATTTTGGTAGATGCGCTGCTGCTGAACTTGTCAACTACAGAATTTATAATAGTATAACAGTTACAGTATAGAACATATTTATTGTTCGTTTAAATTATATTTTGAATAAGTGAACTTACTGATGTCGAAATTAAGCCTATAACTGCACGTGATCTCAAGTCGGGTCGTTCGATTGCTTTTTCTTTTAATTTATTCATTGCTATATTCACCTCAATTTTTTCAGAGTCCGGAACATGATTGTGAATTTGTTCTTTTATTATTTCATCATTTCTTACATGTAAACGTCCCTTGCATTTCATTTTTTGATAATTTTCACACTTCCATATTGATTTATTTAACCATGATTTTTCGTATATATAAATGTACCCTTTAAAAGTCAATTTATCTCTACCTCGTTCACTTTTAATATATAATATATTCATAATTAACAATTAATTAATAAAAACTAACGACGTATTACGTATACTTACGTTCCGGACACGATTGAAACAAAATGTACAAAACGGCCAATAGATATAACACAATTATAATTTAAGTATGACATGTTTTTTGTATATTTTTAAATTTAGCTTTAAGGTTTGGTAACGTCAAACCCGAAGACATTTAGAGCAAAAACGAGTTATACGTGAACACGTCTTATTAGACTTACAATCACTCAAGAGACTATGTCTACGTATATAATATGTACGTGTATATTATGTTACGATAAATTTTAGCCGCGATGAATTGTACCACGGTGAATTGTACACCCGGTGAATTGTATTGCGGTGAATTAAATGCGGTGAATTATCCGGCTACCGGCCATTATCAGGTGAGGACATTATAAATTACGTTACAAAGTTTAAAATACAAAAAGTTACTACAGATGAAACGGGATGTATAAAATTACCGAACGATTTCTGCACAATCATTTATTCGCAAGATGCTCTCATTGACCAGATATGTCCCAGTGTACACAGACAATACACAAATCATGAGTGGCTGGCAGAAAGAGCAATTTTAGTAGCAAAAAATGTGGAGGTCAACGAATTAAATCTCAAGATACAAAATTTGTTACCAGAAAACTTGGTGTCATACAAATCTAGATACAGTTTGCGATGCTACTGAAGTTGTAAATTATCCAACAGAGTTTTTAAACTCATTGGATTTACTAGGCATGCCACCGCATAATTTACAATTGATTATTACAATTTACCATCGATAAAATACCTCCTTCAGAGTCATTTAAAGTTGTAATACATGCAGATAAAAAAACCACCAGAAGAATATAGAGGCAGGTATAATGCACCAACGGCAAATGAAGTTGCTTTAATGTTAGTAAATCAGCAGTTCGATCGAAGAGACATCATCCTCGAAAACCGAAGTAACTCACTTCACCGTATCAGTGAGATACATCGAGCATACGACGCACTGCAGTATCCTTTAATGTTTTGTTGGGGGGGATGATGGGTATGCAATCAATATATCACAACGCGATCCAAAAACCAAGTTACCGCTTAAAAAAATTGTCTCTGCATCAAGTTTTTACTCATATAGAATAATGGTCAGAAAAGGGGAAGACAACTATTTAGTTAATTATCGTTCTCCTTTCAGTCAATATTTGGTAGATGAATACGCCAAAATTGAAACTGAAAGACTAAATTACATCAAAAACAAACAAGCCAAATTGCGTGCAGATAGTTATATTCATTTAAAAGATGCGATTGGACGATGAGACATAGAAGCTAATCTGTTAGGCCGAATGGTTATACTCCCGTCAACTTTTACTGGTGGGCCAAGGTACATGTACGAAAGAACACAAGATGCTATGACCTACGTTAGACATTATGGTCGTCCTGACCTTTTTATTACTTTTACATGTAATCCTCGCTGGGACGAGATAAAAGAGCTCTTACTTCCCGGTCAAAGATCATATGATCGACATGATATAATTGCAAGAGTGTTTCGGTTAAAAGTCAAAAAGACCATGAACTTATTGACAAAAGGTAAAATATTCGGAGAAGTGAGATGCTATATGTATTCAACAGAATACCAAACTGTAGAAAGGTTCAGGTAGTTGTAAGCTGTAACTTACAACTACCTGAACCTTCCTGTAGGTGCTAGATACTTGGCGTTCGCAGACGACGTAGCCATCATAGCGCAGGCCACAGACACCATCGGCCTGAAAAACATACTGCAGAAAGCGGCGGAGATGACCAGGGACTGGATGAAAAACATAGGCCTCCACCTTGCTCTTCAAAAGACAGAAATGCTAGTCATCACGAAGACAAGAACTCACAACGAGCTGGAAATAGAGATAGACGGCAACGCGATACTCGCAGGAAAAAGAACTAAAGTACTTAGGAATAAGGTTGGATCAAAAACTTATATTCACAGCTCATGCGTGAACGACGTGCGAAAAAGCTAGTAGAGCCGTCCAGAACCTGTCTAGAATTTTGCCCAACGTCAGTGCTGCTAAGCAAGCCAAACGAATGCTCATGTCAAACGTGGTGCACTCAATGCTCCTTTATGGTGCCCCAGTGTGGGCTAATAAAATGAGCAAAAAAGGAATGTCGGAACTGGCCAAGGTCCAGAGACGCATCGCGCTGAGGGTCGCGTCAGCTTACCGCACTTCATCTACAGATGCAGTCCTAGTAATAACGGGAATTCCCCCCATAGACCTCCAGGCTTTAAAACGAAAAGCGATATACGACAATCGACTGAGACCAGAAACCGGCGAGGTGAGAGAAGAAGCAGAAAGCATGCTGAACAGGACATGGCAGGGTCGTTGGGACAGCGACGAGGCGAAAGGCAGATGGACGCATAAGATAATCAGTGATATCTCGCGTTGGAGGAATAGGAGGCACGGGCACACTGACTATTGGCTGACCCAAGCGCTGACTAGCCATGGATGCTTCAGCCACTACTTGCATAAAATAGGAAAGCTGGGAACCCCAGAGTGCTGGTACTGCGGTCACAACGACGATGACGCATTTCATACGATCTTCGAATGCGACGCCTGGGAGACTAGAAGATTCCGCGTGGAAACAGAAATTGGAGGAAGACTTCAACCTGAGAACATGATGGACCACATGTTGAAGGATAAACAGACGTGGGATACCATCAACGGATTCGTACGCGAAGTGCTACAAAAAAAGACCGAGGAAGAAAGAAGGAGACAAGCAATTGTCGCAGCTGCACCGTTGAGACGGCACCAGGGATCTGAAGTGAACATAAATTATTTATATATTACTTTTTGATGTATGCCGAGGGTAAAACTTGAGGGGATAGAGCCCCTCATAAATTGTAAATTAACCTAAGTAACTTGTGCGGTCTAACACAGGGGTATTGTCTCTGTGCAGACCACAAAATGTTGTATGTTAGATGTACCGATCCGTGATTGTAAGGGCTAGGCAGGCGGGGGATTGTCCCGCCTCCCACCCGCGAGGTTATATAACTACTGTGTTTTTCTTGTTGTTATTGGTATTTTTGTAATATTTATTTTTTTTCCAATAAATTATGAATACTAGGGGGTGAAATGACTCACGTCAGTGCCACCCATAGTATTCGGTTCAAAATGTAAAAAAAAAAAAAAGCTGTAACTTATTGAATAGGTTATGATAATAATCATTATCTTAAAAACTAAATTAATATGTATAAAATATTATTTAAAAAATCTT